AACTAATTGGTGGCCGTGAATGAAAGAGAATTCTTCTCATTTTCTCTTCCATTCATTTTCTTCAAATTTTCCCATTCTTTCATTCATTTTATTTTAATATTTATTTCCTTCTTTTTCTCTCCTCCACTAACGAGAGAAACCCATCATTTTTTAATACCAAAGTTGTTTTAATAGAAAATACACTCCTTGTCTCCTTACAAACAAATTAGGGAGAACATTGGGAGTTACACAAGTAGTGAACTAAGGTCCTTGTCACGAGCTCCTCAGTCACAGGTTTTTGATACAGCTATGTTGATATACATGCACCCTCTTCAAGGTGTAAATTAACTTTGCCCATTGACTGATATTTTGCATCTATTTTATCCTTATCGTTAAGTTCGTTAAAAATATATATATATATATATATATATACAGTCCCCTTCTATTGAGGGATCCCTCAAATAATTTTATTTGAGGGACGCCATTTAGGGTATCCTACAATTTTTTTTCCAATGATCCAAACCATCTATTTTTTAGGTCTTCATTCATAGATCATCCTTATAAAAAATTAGACAAATCGGAAACCGTTTTGACATCCAATTGTGTCTTACAAAATCAATGAACACGGTGCTTCAAGAAAGTACTAAAATTTCAATAACTCAATTGAATGGTCAAATGATATCGGATTCAATTGATTTTTTGTAGAGATGATCTTTGAATGTGTATCTACAAAATAGACGGTTTGGATTAGTGAAATACAATCCGGAGTGGGCCCTACAAGGGGTGTCCCTCAAATAAGCTTATTTGAGGGATCCCTCAATGGAAGCTCTCTGTATATATATATATATATATATATATATATATATATATATATATATATTTAAAGCAATGACACGACATGACATGAAAAATAATAACAAAACATTTTCTTTTAAAAAGCATAGGTAAAAGAATTCACATCATCGCCTAAAGAGCAATCAAATTTTTTTTTTATAACCAATTTATATCCTAATAGTAATATAGCAAGATGGCGATCCCTCCAACAGCAAAAGCAGCTGCTGCAACTGCCCAAAGAACAATTGTCAGTGCAATTGGTTTTCCCTTCTTTTTCGATTCCGGTGGTGTCGTAGAGTTAGTCAAACCCTCATTTCCACTTGCGTTGACGAGGACCAAAGACTTAAATTTTGGAATTTCTCCAGATAGCTGATTGTTGGAAAGTATCAACTGCGTCAAGGCTCCCAATTGCGTCAAAAATGCGGGTATCCCACCAGAGAATTTGTTATTTGAGAGATCCAGAATTTCTAATCCCGTGAGCCTGGAAAGAGTTATCGGAATCGGTCCTTTGAAAAGATTGCTGCTGAGATTCAAAGCAATCTGCAAAGTAGTTGGCATGCTTGGAATGTCACCGCTCAAGTGATTTTCTCCAAGGTGGAGTTCCATCAGAGAAGTCATGGAGCCAATATTTTCCGGTATCGAACCACTGAGATTGTTGCCTTGTAAATTCATGTTAACGAGATTCTTCAAGCTTGCAACCGAAGGTGGTATTGAACCATTCAGAGAATTCCAGCTGATATTTAGAATCGACAACTTCGACAATTGAGTAATTTGAATTGGGATTTCACCAGTAAAGTTGTTAAATTGAAGTTTCAAGACTTGAAGATGGCTAAGGTTACCCAACTCCACTGGCAAAGCCCCAGACAGCTGATTCTGAGCCAAATTCAACAGTGCCAATGACTGGCAAGAACACAATTCAGGAGAAATCAATCCGGTCAATGTATTGTTTTCCAGCTCCAAGAAAGCTAAGTGTTGGAGTGTTGCAATGGCCGCAGTTGGAATTACATAATCAAGTGAATTGCTTCCCAATCTCAATCTGACCAAGCTCGGAGAAAGAGCTGTAGGTATCGATCCGTTTAATCTATTATTAGACAAATCCAGAGTCTGCAGATTCAATGGAGACAAAAGTTCCGATGGAATCGACCCACTTAAGGTATTATAGCTTAGGTCCAAATTTCCCAGATATTTTGTAATTCCCGCAGGAATTGAACCATTGAATTTGTTAGAATTTGCAGCAAAACGGATAAGGCTTGTGATTTTGGAAAGGCTTTGTGGGATTTCACCAGATAAATCATTGGACGACAGAATCAAAACCTCCAACTTGGAGAGCTCTCCAATTGTACTAGGAACAGACCCAGAAATTTTATTTACACTAAAATCAATCAGAGTCAAATTGCGGTAGCCCACAATATCAACAGGGATTATGCCATGAAACTTATTCATAAAAAGCTGAAGCTCCTTCAAGACCTTGGATTTTCCAAGACGGGTAGGAACAGAGCCAGTGAAATTGTTCACGCTAAGGTTCAAGCTTTTGAGCCCAACTAACCCATCTAACTCTAAATCAATGGCTCCACTCAAGTTATTATGAGACAAGTCTAAGAACTCCAACCCAGCAAAACCAACAAATACAGGCAAAGAACCCTCCAAATTGTTATAGCTAAAATTGAGTAGCCTTAGCCCATCAATTTTTCCACAATCTGAGAGAAACCCAGATGGGATTTTGCTCAGACGGTTGTCTGAAACATCAAGACTCTGCAAGGACTCAATCTGGCAAACAAGGGGCAGAAAATCTGAGGAAGATAGAAAAACCCCAGATAATGAAATTTTGATAACAGATGAATTGGAAGGGGGATTGCAGCTAACTCCTCTCCACAAACATGGGTTTGGCTCTTTGTTGACATCCCATGAAATACTAGTGACATTTAGACTCTTGGAGAGATTGATCATAGTGGTTTGTTGGTTTGAGGATAGTTGAGACAAAACCATAGGATAAATAGAGAAAGAGAAGGAAAAGAAGAAGAAGAACGAGTACCTGGCCATTTCAGCTGTGCGTCAGACCTTGGACTAAATTTCTCTGTTATAAATTTGAACGCAATTGTAAACAGAGTTTTATAAACACAGAGAGGGTTAAGGAAACCAACTTATTGCTGGGGTTTACGGCCGTTTTGGGGAATGGAAATTTGCGGGAGAAAAAGAGAGGAAACTCAAAATTTGTGGGACCCACACCCATTGGGTCAGTTCAGCAAGGAGACTAGGACTGAGAGCTGACTGCTGAGACTAATGACTAGCTTGTTCAAAAAACGCGTAAGTGGAAATGATTTGGAAAATTTGTAACTCAAACAAGTCTGCTAGAATCTGAGAGGACTTGCTTCTTATTGCTACTTTTCTTTCAATCTAGGGCACCACCGCCGGCCTGGACCTTGATCAAAAGGACTCCAAACTTTTTATGTATATGCGTATATTTTTTTGGACCTCCGAAACTATATAATTTCTGCAACAATAACGCGGATTATGATTTAAAATTGTGTGTCAAAACTTGGCCAAAAAAAGTTTAAGAGAATCCTATATAATCTCTTATTTTATTTCATCATTATTTTGGTAAAACGTTTTTCCAATGCCGTTAACTGGGAAATTTTCTTAGTTGTACTCATAAACTTATATATATATATATTCAATGAATTGTCTAAGGGTTAATTTCAGTTTATTACTCTGTATTTGTAACATAAAGACATGCCAGCTTGTTCAAAAAACGCTCATAGACAGAGTATATGATGTTTTCTTTATTATAACACCAACACATGATTACCATATGAATTAGCTTTATTAAAAACTTTCACCTTTAGGCAGAAAGATTTTATTATTCATATGTATCATATACTGTATTATACCACTGTCATTCGAACCACATACAACAGTCTTGCTTTGGCATGACTAATCTGAATTAATTTTAAAAAAATTCATTAATTCAAAACTAAATAATTAATTTAAATCTTAAATGCCCAAGTGCCCCAAGGCCCAAGACCATCTTTTTGATAAATAAATGTTGTATATTATATATTCAATGCCCAATTGGTTTCTACTTGGCCCAACTTTCAATTACCTTGTGTGGGCCAACTTCCAATTACCTAGTATGGCCCAAATTCCAAGTACCAAATGTATTTTAAAAGTATGGCCGAGCGGCAATACTATTTTTTAATGAAATTAAAAATAAACCCCCCAGTATAGCCGCCCGGCTATACGTTTGAAACGTATTATGTTAATAATTAAAAGAAAATAAGCAAGAGTACTGTTTAGTAAAAACAAAAGGTCAAAAATACAGTATAGCCGCACGGCTATAATCTTGAAATCTGTTATTTTCAATAGTATAGCGGGGCGGTTGTACTATTTATTAAAGAAAATTTTAAAAAAACCCCTGCAATGAATCAATTTCGTCTTTTAACTTGTTTCTTCTTTTTTCTCAGGCTAACTTACCTTACTACCAAGCATATGAATGTTCAATATATATTATTTTTAGTCAATAATATGCAAAATTGTGTGTATAATAAGTGAACTTTGTGTGTATTGTTGATAATTTTGTAAAAACACGTGTATTCAACATAGGAAATCCGCACGTACGTGTATTGTATGTTTTACTTGTGTACGGAAAATGGAAGTATTGTTGAAAACTACGTATGTATATGTATAACACGATTATTAAACGGTAATATATTATACTATTTATTATTAAAAATAGAAAAATAAGCCCCCAATAAAATTAATTAAACTAATTTTAAATAAAAATTCATTAATTTAAAACTAAATAATTAATTTAAATCTTAAATGCCTAAGTGCCCCAAGCCCAAGGCCATCTTTTTTATAAATAAATGTTGTGTTTCTGCGTGTTTTTTACTTTTTACTTTTTTACACGCAACAACTCAGCAACTGAGTCACCGAGTTATCACACCGACCTTTCATTTTACATTTTGAAAACCAAAATAGCGCCATAACAATACATTCCCTCTTCTTTTCGTCTCTGTCTGTCTCTCTCTATCTCTCTGTTTCTCTGCAACAAGTAAGCGAAAGCGATCGAGTGAGACTATTGAGTTCAACGATTGAGCGAGTGATTTTCTCTGCAACGATTGAGCGAGTGATTTTCTGGGTTCTCTCTCTGTAACGACTCTGTGAAATTTTGGGTTCTGAAATCAAGAATGGCGTGGTCTGCTATAAAGCGCAGACAATTGGAGGATGATTTTGGTTCCTTTGAGTTTCAGTTTCAGACCCAGAAGAGGATAAGGTCTTCTAGGGTTTCTGAGACCCAACGGAATGTAGCCGTTGAGGAAAAGTCGACCGTTGGTCTTCCTCTGCGCAAGGGTTTTGCATCGTCTGCTACAAAAAATGCCGACCCAGAATCAGAAGATCTGGGTTTTGATGAAATCTGTCAGACCCAGAAGAGGAAGAGGTCTTCTAGGGTTTCTGAGACCCAACGGAATGTAGCCGTTGAAAAAAAGTCGACTGTTGGTCTTCCTCTGTGCATGGGTTTGGCTTCGTCTGCTACAAAAAATGCCAACCCAGAATCAGAAGAGGGTTTTCATGAAATCTGTCAAACCCAGAAAAGGAAGAGGTCTTCTGGGGTTTCTGAGACCCAACGGAATGTGGCCGTTGAGGAAAAGTCGACTGTTGGTCTTCCTCTGGGCAAATTCAAAGGTTTGGCTTCGTCTGCTTCAAAAGAGACGTTGGATTGTTCTAAGGTATTGGATTCTCTGATGAACCTCGGCCATGCGAGCTACTTCAACAAGCCTGTTGTTGATCCTGTGGCTGAGAATCTGCCGGGTTATTTCGACGAAATCTGGAGGCCGATGGATTTGGGTACTGTGAAATCGAAATTGGAGAGGGGTGTCTACTCCAGCGCTGATGACTTCGCTGCTGATATCAGGCTTATCTTCTCAAACGCTTTCAGATATTTCCCCCTTGGGAGTAGAAATCGTGCAGCAGCCAAGCATCTCAGTGGGGTTTTTGAGACCCATTGGAAAGAAGCCGAGGAGAAAATGTCAAATGCTGCTTGTCCTCCTCCTACTCCTCCTCTGCCCAAACGGAGACCAAATGGCAAGAGCTCTTCTGCTTGTAGGGTTCTTATACAAAGTCAAGAGGTTGTTGGGGTTTCTGATTCTCACTCAGTTAAGTCAACCAAAGATGATGACTTGGGCACCCTTGTTCATCATGCCATGTATCAGGCCACAGACAATCTTTCCCCACGTAAGGCTAGGCGAATTCAGTCGCTCAAGATGCGATTTTCAGGTACAATACGAAAAGCAAACAAGATACTTAAGGGTCTACCTGATTCTCCACCAAGGAGAAAATTGATGCATCGGATGGATCAAAGGGAATTGGCTCGCCATGCCGTTTTGAACATGGAGAAGTCAGTCCAATTTGAGGACCCTTTAAGGGATCTCAAACAACTTGAGATTCTGTGTGGCTGTGGCAGTGAAAGGGTCTACCTTGGATTGCCTCTTAAGCATTTGGGTTTGTACCTCAAAGAAGATGACGAGTTACAGGGTCAGGACGAGGAGGCTTTTCTGAATGCAGATCAGGAGGAAGGCGAGATCTGCTGGCGGGAAAGCGATTGGGAGGAAGGTGAGATCCGCTCATGAAGTACAGGTTAGAGTTTACAAGGAAAATGAGACATAGGTTACAAGCCACCTTGCCTCTGTTATTTGTTGTATATGGTAAGTAGTTGAATATATACTTTAGTAATTCTGATTTTTTATTGTTGAGATGCCTGATTTGGAATATAACCCACTGCTTGACAAGATGGATTACTTAGAATCTTGTTATTAGGGAATCTCTTTTAAGTTTTACTTTCTAGTTTGTTATAGATGAGGTTTCCAATGTGGATATGGTAGTATCTACCTGATGCAATCCTACACATCCAGATATCTTGGAAACATTAGCAAAGTATGCACTGTTATGATGCATATAAGATAAAATGTGTGTATGTTCTGTTGTGTGTGTTTGTGTATACTATCGATGTTCATTGGCCATAAACATTTTACATTTCATATCATACATTGTACATGTCAGATGAAGTGGACCACTGTGCTCTCTCTCTCTCTCTAATCTTTGTATTTTTTATTTCGTTTTTTTTTGGTGCCAGTTTTTGTGTGATTGCTATTTGATGGCTAATGCAACTGAAAGCGAATGGTTTGGGCACGAGGGACAAAAGTATGTAAGTTTGCAATAAAACTGAAATCAAATTACACGGAAGCTTATCAAGAACTTGGAGACAATCTCCCATCTTTGCAGGTGCATCAGCAGCAGCCTTTCTTTCCCTATGAACATAAACCATAGAGCAATTCCAAACTCCCGCTAATCAGGTTTCTGCATCTTTAAGTTTGTTTTGATTTATTAAAGGAATGAAATGATGAATAAGTGTTGGCATCTGTACAAATAAAATGATTTCTTGTATAAGCTGTTCAGTTGCAATGGTTGTTGCTATGGAGGGTGCTCCATGCGTCTAATCCCAGCATTGGCATTTGCTTCAGTAACCCTGATAATCAGGTACCCCATCTCCGTTTCACCTCTAAACTTATGCTTTAAAGATGAATGACATTTCATGCAACAATTTACAGAGCTGCTACTGTTTAGGAAATCTATGCTACCAATTTGTGTTTGTTGGTTTCATCTTGTCAGGTGTTTATGCCTTGTTTAGGAAATCTAGGTAAATAAAATTTGTGTTTGTTAATACAGACGTTGTGCCTTGTAGAGTTTTCAGTTTGCTGTTCCCAGCACTTATCCAAATTTCATATTATGTTTGAGCTAGTATAGAAGCTTGGGATTTCTCCTTATAATGGTTTTTTCTTTCAATTTCTTTTGGCTTGGTGGCTGGTACACTTTGCAGTTTGCATTGCTGTTGTAGTTGTGTTGCCTTCATCATCCCTTCAATAGGGTTATATCATGGCTATTTCAGTTGAAAATGTTAAGATTGTGTATTAGTATTTGTTTTTGTTAAATTGAAAAGGAAAATGGAGTGTCAAAATTCCATTACTGATGGAATGGTAATGATGCAAGACAGAATCATTGTTTTTGTGTTGCCTTCAGTCATTGCTTTCTGTGCTAGTTTTTCTTTTTAATTTTTGGTTTAATAAAGAATGGTAATGAGGCAAGACAGTATATTTAGCATCTTGAGCAACAAATTATTCCTTGTTAAAGAATGTGTCTGCATCTTTTTGTTGGTTTTGATTTAATAACGATTTCTTGTCAAAGATGTTCATTTGCAAAGGTTATTGGCTGGTCAGTTCCTGTCCCCCCATGTAGTGTGTGTTCCCCCTCGTCTAATCCCAGCATTGGCATTTGCGTTAGTAACTCTGATAATCAGGTACTCCATCTTCATCTCTCCTCTAAACATATGAAATAATCCAATTAGTGTTTTCTTTGTTTTGTCTTTTGTGGCTTAGATTTATCTCTCCCTTTTTATTTTTATTTTCTGGGGTGTCATTTATGTTGTTGTCACTATGGTTACGTTTCAAAGATCAATGACATTTCATGCAACAATTACAGAGTTGTTACCGGTTTAGGAATCTATGCTACCAATTTGTGTTTGTTGGTTTCATCTTGTCAGGTGTTTGTACCTTGTTTAGGAAATCTGGGTAAATAAAATTTGTGTTTGTCATACGGACTTTGAGCCTTGTAGAGTTTTCAGTTGCCTATTCCCTGCACTTGTCCAAATTTCGTACTAGTATGATTTTCACTGAGAACTTGGGTTGATGAAGAAGAGAGGTTATAATTTTTAAAGCATACTATCTGCATCTTATGAGATTTGGAGGTAGTGTGAACATTATATATGGATTAGAATGCCCAGAAAGAAGATGTGGTTTTTTATTTATTTAAATTGCCGTATCTGCTAATAAAATTGAGCAGAGCACTGGTTAGAGTTTATTAGTCTTGTATTATTTCACCTTTTTAAGTCCTCTCAATTTTTCTTTGATTATAATTTTACTTGCTCTAGTTTTTAACTGTTTGAGTTTTCCAAGTGTTATGTGTATCAGAGTAGAATAACTAGTAAGGTTGGCTTGGTACACCATAAGTTGACATAACAACCCCAATTTTTCTGAGTGTGAGGCTTTTAACTTTGAGCTCATATAACCCCAATTCTCTCACTCTGACTCTCAGAGGTCTTAATCTCTGAGCTCTGCAAACCCTAACTAACGCGAATAATCAAGCTCTGTTACAGTTGGTATGAGAAAGCCACTTCCATTCAAACTCTAGAGGTCAAACCCTTCTTCATTTGTTCTTCTTTTGAAATTTTTTCTTGTAAGTCATTTAATCGCTAATAAATCCCTGCATAAACTGAGAAATTCCATCTTAAATCAGAGAAATTTTATATGTACAACATATATATTTGTTGTTTATGTTGAGTGCAATAGTTATTAGTTTTGGTACTTTCTGTATATAATTTTGTTTGAGCTAGTATAGAAGCTTGGGATTGCTCCTTATAATGGTTTTTTCTTTTTCTTTTGGCTTGGTGGCTGGTACAGTTTGCAGTTTGCATTGCTGTTGGAGTTGTGTTGCCTTCATCATCGCTTCAATAAGGGTTATATCATGGCTATTTAAGGTAAAAATGATTAAGATTTTGTATTAGTATTTGGTCTTGTTAAATTTACAAGGAAAATGGAGTAAAAATTCCATTATTGATTGTTCTAATAGGTTTTCTTGTGACCTTCCATATAGTAAATGATTTGTTATCTTTGGTTTAGGCTTAGGCTCGTTATGCACAAGGACTCATTCCTCCTTATCAAACAAATCACAGTTTAACACCTGTCCACTTATCTTTCCTTCTTCTGTTTTCCTTTCTTTTTTGTTTTTCTCGAGGAGCCATTCCTCCATGGTCAAGTGTCAACTCAAAATTGTGATTTGTTTTTTTAGCATAAGAACCTAAACTTGTTCTTAAAAAACTGCTGCTTTCTATTATAAAATGTATCTCAATTATTTCTAAAAATGCTATAAAAAGGTTTGTGCTGTGATCTTTTTGTAATAGCTTCTATAATGATGTCTTGGATGCTATAATACTTCCAATTTGGCTTAGAGGGATCCATACATGCCGCTCAAAGACGATGAGGTCTTTGAGCATGTACATGGGAGGTCATGATAAATTAGAGGTCTTGGCTATAGACCATGGGTTAGTTAGTACTTTTGGGATGCTGGGAAGATCATCACGTGGAGATACAGAGGAGCTATTGGCTTAGACTCAGATTCTAAGATCAACAGGAACGGCTGAGAAGGTTGGAGGTGGTTATCCCTAGCTTTCTTACCTCAACTGGTTATTTAGTCTCATCTTAATTTATAGCCAAATTATTCTTAAATTTTTTGTTTATCTTTCATTTCTGAGGTTCACACATTATTACTTGGAAGAACCGTTAATTAGGAAGCTTCACTGAGAACTTGGGTTGATGAACAAGCGAGGTTATAATATTTAAAGTATACTATCTGCATCTGATGAGATCTTGAGGTAGTTTAAGCATTATATATAGATTAGAATGCCCAGCAAGCAGTAGTGAATTTTTATTTAAGTTGCCGTATCTGGTAAATTAAATTGTATACAGCTCTGGTTAGAGTTTATTTAGTATTGTATTATTTCACCCTTTCAAACGTTTTCTGTCAATGTCCATGAGCACAAATTTAAGTCCACTGAAATTTTCTTTTATTATCATCAATGACTGAAAATCAAATCAATGGAAATCTTAGAAGTTCCACGTTTTAAACAATTGCCAGAGCTGATGAGGGAACTCCAAACAAAAAAAAACAAAAAACAAAAATTGAAACCATTTTTATTTGGACATGTTAAACAGGATCTATGGTTCTGATCATTTACACACAAAAACGTGTACTTTCTGATGTGACTAAGCACTGCAGTGGAGAAGAGTTTCTAATGGGGAACAGAAGCAGTTTCTGTTTCTGTTTGGTCTGTAATTATACTTTCCCTTGCTCTATAGTTTCTAACTGTTTAATTTTTCCAAGTGTTTATGTGTATCAGAATAGAATAAGTAGTAAGGTTGGCTTGGCACACCATAAATTTGACTTGTTTTGCTTTGCCCTTCTACAGTTTAAAAACTTGTACATAAGGGCCCCATTTGATAACCATTTCAATTTTAGTTTTTAGTTTTTAGTTTTCATTTTTTTGTGCTAGAGTATAGAGGAAGATGAGAGTGAGAATAAGAGTGAGGATGAGATTGAGAGAGAGGATGAAAGGGGGGAATGGGAGGGAGGAGTAACAAAAGTGTTGAAAGTGCAAACAATTTCAAATAGATTTCAGTTTTTAGTTTTTTTTTTTCACTTTTATTACTACTCCCATCTTCCCTCTCAATCCTATCTCCACTCTCGTTCTCACTTCCATTCTCCCTCTTTTTCTACTCTAGCACAAAAAATGAAAACTAAAAACTAAAATGAAATGGTTATCAAACAGGCCCTAAGTAAACTTGTTTTCCAAAATGTATGGATTTTTGGGGTGTGCATAGGTTGTTCGGATTTTAGCATTGCATTAATTTATTTTGATTAAATTATGGTCAAGATATGTCCTGGATCCTTTTTTCAGGAGATAGAAGCAAGTCTAGCATTTCAAGAGTTTCTTTTTCTTTTATTAACTACAGCTGTCAAC